TCTTAGAGGAGAAAGATAAATGGAAAGCCAAGGCACTTCGAATGTCTCAATTTTTGCAAGACAGCATTACAATACGCTGAGTAAGGAGGTGTTTTAATCTGTTTGAGCTGTTATAACAAAACACCATAAAATGGGTGGCTCATGAATAACATAAATGTATTTTTTACAGTGTGAGATGCTAGGAAGTCTAAGACGAAAGTGCTGCCAGATCCATTATTTAATATGGTCCCACCTACTGGTTCACAAATAGAAGTTCCTACATTTTCACTTGGTGCAAGGGGCAAAGCAGCTCCCTGGGCACTAATAATAATAAAAGCACTAAGCTCATTCATGAAGGCTGTGCTCTGATGACCGATTAATTCCTCCAAAGGCCAACTTGCAATTACCATCACACTGCTGACTAGGTTTCAACAGAAAACATGCAAGGAGGGAGGAGCACAAATGTTGCAACCACAGTAATGGGAAAACAGATGTTAAATAGAGGACATCTCTTTAAGGCATAACTTTTTGGAAGTTCTGAGGAGTGAACCCAGGGTCTTTGCATGGAACTTTTTTTTCCTTTTTAATTGAGACAGGGTCTCTGTTACTAAGCTGCAAGGCCGGGCTCTTATTTCTGATCCTCTTGCCTCAGCCTCTCAGAAAGTGATACCACTTTTTTAATGATCATAAAATTTATAATTCTCAAATCAGTTTAGGAAACTGAACAGAGAAAAAATCCAAAGTTTATGAGCAAGTAGCTACACAATCACACATAAATACAAAATGTCTAGGGCCAGCCAAATAGCTCAGCAGATTAAAGCACCTGCAAGCATGTGGAGGGCTGGGCTTCGATATCCCAGCCCGGTGTGCCGACCCCACACCTGGGTGCAGCAATTGAGACTGGGCATTGTAACACGCACCTGTAATCCCACCTCTTGGGAGACTGTAAACAGGTGGATCACTACGAGTCCAATCTTGTAGCGAGACCCTGAACACCCTGTAACCCTTCCCCCTCAAAAAATAAAAAAAGGAAAGAAAAAATGTCCAACTGTAAAAAGATGTTCAAGTTCATTCTTTTTTTTTTCTTTTTTGTATTTTTAGGGAAGGGTCTACAGGGTGTTCAGGGTCTCACTACTAAACCGGACTTGTAGTGATGAGCCTGTTTACAGCCTCCCAAAAGCTGGGATTACAGGCCTGCACCACATCGTCTCAATTGCTGGCTCAGCAAGCCCTGAGGGTGGGGCCGGCCTGGCAGGCCCAGGGATCCCTGGCCCCTGTACCTGCTTCAGGCACTTTAATCCATTGAGCTATCTGGCCGGCCCTCAAATTCATTCTTAAGAAATGCAAATCCAAATAATGTGATACCTTATTCAATATATTTTCCCCAAAATATTTTTTCCTAATACTTAATGTTAGAAAGAGTACAGAGAATGCACAATTTTTCATCCTGTTTTCCTGAATAGTATTCTCTTTCAATATGTAAGATTATCTGTATCTTTAATATTTACATAGTACTGCATCATATGGTGGTTCCATAATTTAACAGGCTCCATATTAATGATCATGCAAATTGTGCCTACTTTTTTTGAGTATATTATCAAAATAAAACTGGCACATTCATGCACACACATTAAATACATCTTTAAGATTAGGGCCTAGTGAGATAGCTCAGTGGAATAAGTGTTTGCCTGGCAAGCTCAAGATCCTGAGTTTGATCCCTGGTGCCACCAAAAAAAAAAAAGAGAGAGAGAGAGAGAGAGAGAGAGAGAGAGAGAGAGAGATTAGGTCTTAGAAGGGCCGGCCAGATAGCTCAGTGGACTACAGCAACTGTTTAGGCAGAGCACAGCGGCCAGGGTTCAATCTCTGGCCTGCAGTGCCGGCCCTGCGGGCGGTGAGACAGCAATTGAAGCTGGGCATAGTGGCATGTTCCTGTAATTCCAGCACTTGGGAGGCAGAAAACAGAATCACTACAAGTCCAATCTATGTGATAAGAACCTGTAGACCCTGTCCTAAATACATAAAAAAATAAAAAAGATTAGGTTCTAGGATTGGAATTTTAGTATACAAAGGACTGTATGAATTTATAACTCTAATACAGACTGCCAAATTGCTCAGTAATTTATGTGAATTTTTACTTTCTCCAATAAAGTATCACTACCTCTTTTTCCAATAAAGCATATTATCAAACTTTTCAGGGTAAATCCTGAGGGGATTTGACTGACCTTGTCAGGTACAAAAGTTACATTTTTAGTTATATGGGTCTTGCTTTAACTTTGTCTTAACCATCCAGCAGAAAAGTATAATCAAGAGGTATAAAAAAGTAAAGCCATATTAATATGCTGAGCTGTAAAAGGCTCAAGTCAAAAACTTCTGACATTGCCAGCTCTAAGGATAACCTACTACTATTATGGGCTACTGGACTATAATGGGTTATTTTGCTGAATTCAAGCACCTACAATATTTGAATGGCAACAGAACACCCATCTCTCACAAAAAAGGGGGATACAAATAAAGGACCATTTGCAGTTAAAAAAATATGTATATATAAAATAGGATAGATATACAGCTTTCTCTTAGTTCAATGAGAAGAAAGATTTGTACTAATAGTGTTTAGACAACATATCATGTCTGTATCTTGTACTCTGAATATCTACTACAAAGACAACAATATGCAATGTATTAATTATTATAAATGTCCTACTAACTTGTTTTGAAACTGTCTCACTGCTATTTCTTTCTCATTAAATTAATATAAAAAAATCTTTTGCGGCTGGCAATGTATGTAACTCAGTGCTGGAGACCTTGACTAGCATGTAACAGGCCCTAAGTTTGATCTTTATTATTACAAAGAAAATAGTATTTTGATATTTTTAAATCTGAGAAATAGTACTATCATATTTCAATTTATATTTTAAAAACTCTGTATGTAAAAATTGAGTTTGAGAACTTTTGTGTTCAGACTTTCCCATGAACTATTTCAATACTGCTCTATAAACTATATGCTTTGCCTAATTTTTAGTCTTTTCTTAATTACACCTATTCAAAATATATAGAATTCTTAATGTAGCAGATATACTATCACACTGCTTCAAATATACTTTCTCAGGTATTTTCTTTTGGCTTTTTAGTGGGATTTTTAGATCTACAGATTTTTCTCCAACATAGTCAAATTTATCAATTTGGAGAAAAGGAACCCTTCTCTACTGTTAGTGGGAGTATAGACTGGCATGAGCACTATGAAAATCAGTGTAGAAATTCCTCAAAAAAAAAAAACTACGTTTAGCGGTCTACCCAACCCAGCTAGTCCCCTTCTGAGCATCTTCCAGAAGAATTAAAAATATCATATCATTTTTGCTTTTTAGGTTTTACATTGCCCAGTTCCCATTCCAAGAATATTTTTTTAAAAAATGCTACCCCTCATTTTCTCTTCTAGTATGTATATGATTTCACTTTTAAGAGTTTCTGTCTTCAATCCATAGGAAACATGTTTGGCATTTGGAGTGCCACATTTTAAAATCAAACCACTTGTATGTAATCTCAACAGAAAATGATTTCAAAGCATTTTAATTATAAAACGTGTGTTTGAATACAGTGGGAACATAAACAGAGGAGGACTTAGAATAAAAACCTCATAGAAAGTAAAGGAAGAAATTGGAAGAAAATGAAAACTGCCAAGAAATTTGTGCACAAAAAGTAGAATCACAGTTCACTAGAAATATGCTCAGGAAGCACTGCTTCTTATGAGCAAGCTACTCACATGAAAAGTCATTAATTAAGATTACACATGGTAGGATAGTTTGTCCATTTTCATTTATGCTTGTCTGATATCTGATACCTTAAAAGCAGTATTTTCATTATATCTAAACTCTTTAATGTACAGAAATATTTTGAGATTTTCCTCTACTTGTAGTAATTGGATATAAATTTTAGAAAGGGAGAATCATAAAAAATCAACTTACAACTATGCCTGAGTACTTCTATTTCCTTTATTATTTTATAGTTCTCTCAATTAATAGTATACCCAAATAGTATACTTAATTTAAGGACGTGCTATTGCAAAATACCTGAAAATCTAAGATAACACAGCATTAAAGAGAAATCTATAAAGACACATTTTCAAAAAATAATTCACACGATAGACTTGAGACTACTAGACTTAGAAAAGTCTACCTGTATAATTTTACACTTCACCGGTATCAAGAAACTTAGTTGTGGATAATACTCAGAGCTGTTAAGAATGGCTGACCATGCCTAAACTGTACAAACACAGCTCATTTATATTAGACACCTGATTTCCTTTTCGGGATCTGGAATTTTGGCATGTGCTGTATCGAAAATGTCAAGGTTATTGACTACCAATAAAATCCCCAGACTTCTAGGACAGGAAAATTTCCCAGGTAGACAGTATTTCACTTGTGCTGTCATAAGTAGCTGCAAGAATTAGGCTTGCCCTGTGTGACTCCATTTGGAAAACAATCATGGAAGCTTGAGCCTGTAGCACCCAGACTTTGTACCATGAAACTCTTTCCTTTACTGATTCTGCTTTTATCCTTTCACTCAAATAAAGAATAACCTTGAGTACAACTATATACTGAACTTGTGAATCCTCCTAGCAAATAAAGAAACCAAAATAATTCTAATACTATGCAATATTTACATGAAAAACTTGTTAAAGCACAGAAATAAAAATTACCACACTTTAAGTATTATTCATAAACATGGAGTTCATACTTCTCAGTAAAAATGGTTTTTGTTAAAAAGCAAAGACAGTGTTTAGATGTAGAGAACACAGAACAATTACACTTATTTTGTGGGCCATGCTTCCATATATAAATAGCAACATACATTTAAACATAGTAAGAAACAGCCACTGTTAATTATTTAAGGCAATACGTTATTTGTTTTACATTGCTGAAAGCAGTAATTAACTTGTGCCCACTGAAAAAATGCATTAAACAATTTATCATGCCTCCATTATTTGTTGTGCTTTTTCTACGAGAAAAATATTAAAAGTGGTCTACCTTTTTAATCTTAGCCTTCTCAGCCTTTTCTTCTTTATCACACTTCTTCGCATTCCTATTCAGTTCTTTTGCAGCAAACTTCAAGTTAAATAAGTGTTCTAAAAATATAGGTTAAGGTTATTCAGAAAGTCAGTTTCCCAGCCTAACTACCTGCAAGCATGATATTAAAATTATAAAACTTATCAAACAATATTAAGCTACTTAAACCAACTAATCACAAAGTATTTTACAAAATAAAACAATTTATATCTCTTCTATTAAAATGTAGTACTAATTATAAAGAGAAAAATAGATTTTCATGAGAAAAAAATGGCATTTGGAGTTCCACATTTTAAAATCAAACCACTTGTACTGATCACAGTACAAGTAATTGTATTGTAATCGATTGCATTCTATAAGAAAATGATGATCCATTATGGTAAAATACATAAGAGAAGAGTGGTGTGGGTGAATGATGATAATAACTTTGATACTGTCTGTGTGAGCCAAAGTTACAGTGACAGGAAATGGAACAAGAATCGACTCATACAGATACTGGGAATGCAGACCTCCTTGATGCAAATGACAAAACAGCAATGTGACTATATAATTGACTAGTCAAAATGTTGCAAAATGACCATGCAACCAATTGGAATGATCCAATTTTAGAACTAGTTCTCAAAATACAGTGAAAACCTTGGAAGCGGTGAAAATTATTGGACAGAATGCCAGCAGTGCCATTCATTGTTGAAAACTGTAAAAGATGAAATACTACAAGGTGCTGTGAATAAAAAAAGCTGAAATGCAAATAAAATGTTCTCAAGGAACCAATAGCCATATTCAAAAATGTATTTATTATGACACTTCACTAGCTGAACTGAAAGCATTCATACGTGTTCTGTACTAACATAAATTTCTCATTATGATCACAGGAATGTAAAAGACTTACGGAAAAGCGATGGCTCAAAATAAGGCATAAACATTTATGCTCATGTAGGTGTGAAGACTTATTATGCTTTCAACTTAGATATTTATCCTAGAATTCAGCCATCAAGTCCTTATTTATATAGTAATGAACCTAATGATGCGGTGAACACACTTGTTGCTTCTATCACCTAAACTAATTGGAACGTGGTGGTTTTTTTTAAATGTGTTTGGTTGTTGCAGGGTTTCACTATGCAGCTCAGACTCATAGTGATCCTCCTGCTTTCAGTCTCCCCAGCACCAGGATTACAGCCCTGTGCCACTACTCCTGGACTGCGGCTGGCTCAGCCCACCCTGTTGGTGGGGCTGGCATGGCATGTGGTGCTGAGGATCGAACTACGTTCCCTACGCTTGCCTGAGCAGGTGTTTTAGTCTGCTGAGTTATCTCACCAGCCCCTGGAATGTGATATTTGACAAATATTTTACCAGCTCCCAATTGATGTTACCTTAAGTAGCATAGCACAAGTTGACAAACACAGGAACTGTACATAAGAACAAGGCAGCAATTCCAAATGACATGTTTCAATTTCAAAACAGGGAGCTATATAGTATAATCCTTGGATTTCAGAAAAATATAACATTGGACTTATAAATGACAAAAAAAAACAAACCTGGCACTACTACCGTCAACATTTCACCATGATGGAAATACTGGTAGGAAGACCTGGACAAAACAAAAGCCTGAGAAGAAAACTTTCAACAACTAAACCAAAGGTGGAATAGATGTTTTTGATGAGTTACACAGCAACTATTATGTTACTTGAAAAACAAAGGATTAAGCAACAGTCATGGTTTTACTCAATCCTAAACGTGTGGCATAAATAGTTTGATAGTTTAGAATCAAAATAATAAGTGTAAAATCATGGAGAAATTTTCTTAAGATGATTGGTACTTGAGCTCATAAAAGATAAATTACAGCAGAAGGAAAACAAAATGCTTCTGCTCAGGGAACTACACAAAAATTGTGGAGTACAGGTGAGCAGACAGAGGAACAGGCAGGCACAGCACCACAAAGACATGCCACAACAATGGGAAAACAGAAATGTCAACTATGCCCTATAAGAAAGTATAGGAATACAAAACATACTTAACTGTGTATGGAACATGCAGTTATCCTATGTGAAGACTGCCTTGAGTGTGAATTGAAGCCAAGCGTATTTCTATAGACTTTTGTTCATGTTAAAATTGTAGACTTTTGTTTATGTTTACATTGTAGGTCACCTAGGTTTTTAATTTAATGTTGTCTTTTAGGTCTTGTAAGTAAACAACTGATGTGAAAATGTTAATGTCTATTGTAAGTACTCATCATACATCTGATATCTTACTTTATTTTATTCACATCTTATTTCCCCACTAAGTACATGTTGTACAATACAGTATATAGCTCCTGACAAAACAGAAAGAGAGGGGACAAGACTCAGTAGAGAAGAGGAAAGCTAAGCACATGTACTGTCAATGTACGCAAGACATGTGCATAGAACAAGCAGATGTCATGTGCGAAAATTGCCTTTGGTGTGATAGCTGAAGCAAAATTTATGTTAGGTTTTGTGAGGAAGTACACAGCTGATAAGAAAATGGTGTCTATTCTAAACACATAATAAATATTAAGAATTTAATTTATTTTATTGATACTTTATGCTCCTGTTAACTACATGCTGAATAATATAATAAGAACCTCCTGACAAAACAAGAACACTAAGGTGTGAAGTATGTCCTACAAAAATGCCAGGAAAGCAAAAGTCATGTGCTGTCAGGGTAAGAGATGCATGGGTAAGTAACATGCTGTTGTCATGTGGGCAGACTGCCACAGGTGTGATGGCTGAAGTAAATATTTACTCTAGATATTGGCATCTTCAATGCAGTTCATATAGAAATTATTTCTGACATTCTCTTTTAGACTTTGGACACCAAAAATCAGTCAATGTTGAAATATTGATACTTTGTCATAAACAACAAATATTAAAAACTCAATACTTTTGATTTTTTTGCTGTTAAGTACTCATTGTTTAATATAATAAAACTCAAAATTAAAATTAATAATTAATAGAAATATTATAAAGACTAAGCATGAGTCTCACAAACCCATGTTTCTGCTCCTGGATGACAGATTCAGTCATATGTCCCAAAGCTGAGTTATGAAGCCAATTATCTTAGATAAAATTTATTATACTCTAGGAGGCTGGGGAGATGGCTCAGTGGAATAAGCACTTCCCTGGCAAGTGCAAGGGCCTGAGTTCAATCCTCAGTTCCGAAAAATAAATTATACTCTATAAATGCTGAGGACTACATTGTCAACTATATTCAACTTTTACTTAACAGTTAAATTGATGATGGTACAAAATGTGGACACCAAATATTAACAGATCTAACATAAAAGTCTTTTGAATACACATTTTCCCTCTTTATATATCTAAAAAAGCCTAAGCTTTAGAAAAACGCCTTGAACTATGGTATAAACTTCAATGAAAAGTCATTTTAAATGCAGAATTTAGTTTGAAAAAAAAAGACAGGAAAATCCTAGGGCACAGACACAGAGAAAGAATGAACTACTAGCAGTAAGCAAACACTGAAGCCCCTGCATCCTTCTATAGTGTCCTGTTGTAATTGAGCTTTCTGAAGAAATCTGTTATTCTTTAAGGGTGCAGTATTAACATAAAGGCACAGCAGAAATAAAAAATACTAGCTGGCAAAGTAAGATGAAAAATGCAAAGATTATCTATCTTTATTGGCTACTAGGAAAATGGGTGTGGAACAAAGGCTCCTCTGAGATTTACAGTTATAGCTATGTCCTCATATTGATTTTGAGTTCAACCATATATTGTTGAAATGATCTGCTAACCCCCAACTCCAAACATTAAAGTGAGCCCAAGTTTAAGAAACATCATAAACTCAGTATTTTAGTACTCCCACGGGTCTGGCCGAATTGATGGCTAAAATAAAAAAAAATAGATAAAGCTGAGAAGAAAATTAGAAAAACGGACTATACTATCAGAATTAAGATGAGAATAAAAAATAAGGTTAATATCAAAGAGCATGTAATGGTTGTATCTAAATGCTTCCCTCAAAGTTTCAGTTATGGGCACAGGCTTCTAGAGTTTGTAACTGATTTATTGTCCAATGTTGGGATTAAGGGTTTATGTGTTACATCCATCCTAGGGCAGGTAGCCTGCATACAAATAAGGAAGGAATAGAGGCCTGTTACCTACTTTCTTGTTGCTTTTGGCATCTTCTATAACCATGAAAGGTTGCCCTCTGCCATGCAATGAGTACTGTCTTAGCAATGAGAGAAAAGTAACTAAAACAGAGGGTAATGGATAAGAAAACAGAATGGAAAGGTCTAATAATAGCTGGAATTCTGGATAACAATACTATACAGAATGTGGAAAAAATTACACTTACAAGAGATAATGCCTCAGTCTTCTCTCACTGATAAGAGGAAGAAAACAAGCAGAAAGATGAATAAAACTGAGTCCACATAGATACATCATAATAGATAGTACTAGGAAAACTTCAGAAGCCTAGTAGTAGAATTTTAGACAATTTACAAAAGATCTAAAATCAGACTAAGTAGAATTTTCAAACAAAATACAAGAGTACTTTTCAAAGGCTATAAAGCCAATACTATGTTATGTCTTATTAACTTGCCAAAGAAACTGAATTAGCATACACTGGCCACTCTATCTAGAGAATAAAGTTAAGTTCCTATGGCCAGTGTGTAGTTACATATCCATCAACTGATCAAAATATAACCTCATTTTGTACATTTTTGTAATAACAAATGTTATTTAACATATATCATTTATTCGTTAGCACTGAATTCAGGGTCAAAAGCACTAAAAGTCACGCTTGAAAGAAGCTCTTCCAACACACAGGTTTTCTTCATAAGGCACATTACAGTCTCCTTGTACTGAGAAAGACTCAACAGTACTTGATGGCATTATGAAATGAAAATAACTACAGATACAGACGTTTTAAAATAATAAATTATAAAAATTATGCCAACAAATAGTAAACCTTAAACAAAATCTAGAATTCTAGAATTACAGAAATTCACTTCAGGGGCCAGGGAGATGGCTCAGTAGAATAAACGCTTGCCTGGCAAGCACAAGGGCCTGAGTTCAAACCCTGGTTCCAC